AAAGGTTAGGCCACACATGGTACCAATTCCATCCTCATATGCTACCTCATTCCTGCCTCAAGGTCAAGCATCCCTCCCAACCCTCACTCTTCCTCCACCAGCATCTGTCAGCAAGCCTTTGTAGGCCCAGTAGGTAGGAAGGATAGTGAAGAACTGTCTCTATAAGGGACAAATAAGTGGCCAGTGGCCCCAAAGAGCAACCTCTCTGTTGGCTTGAGAAATCCCAGGGCAGCCACCGAGGAGCCTAGCTTGCCCCTTCCTCCATCATGCTGACAGGAAGGAGGCCCGGTGGATCAGCTGGCCGCCAGAACGCCGCCGTTTCTTTTTATCAGATCTCTTAACTCTTTAATTAGAACTGCTAAAAAGCAATGCATACACTGGAGAACGCCTCATTTCTCATCCCTGTGGAGGACACTTCTGGTTTCCCCGAGGAAAAGTATGAACTTGTGAGCATGGGCCTGGCCTCTATGCAGAGTAGTCAACAAAAAAACTTATTTTACTCGCTGGTTTATTTCGGGTCAGAGAAAGCAGGACTGAAGCAAGAGGAGGAACACTGGGATGCAAAGAAGCCCAACAAAATGCTTCCTTCCGCTTTCCTTTGCTTAAGGAGCCGAAGGGGAGGGGGGCGGGTCATTCACCTGTGCCCCAGCTCTGGCTCGGGGGAGACAGAGCCGGTGCGCTGTTCAATGAATGCTTACACCCTCAGACCTTCAACAGCACCCGCAGATCTAGAGAAGACAGAACATTGTAGGGTAAGGGAAGGACTGAAGGACGGAATCCTTGGCCAGAAAAGGGGAACGGGTCTCCCTGCCACAAGTTCTCTGCCGGCCCCGGGCCGGCCGGGTAGCAGCCCGGGTCGCGGGCAGCGCGCTTCCAGGCCCTTTTGCGCAGGAGGACGCTCACGCTTCCCGGTCTTGGGGTCTCGGTTCACGGTTCACGCTTCAGGTGCCTCGGCCCCGGGCCTAACTTTCCCCGGACAACCCCGCAGCTCTCCCGCCGCCCCCTCCAGCTCCCCCGCCCCTTGGCATCGCTTGGCTTTAACTTTGAGCGGCTGCTTTTCAGGATGGCCCGTTGCCGGGAGGTGCAGTGGGCAGTGGCGGCTCCCGCTGCGGAGCTGGAGCTGGGGGAGGAGTGGGGCCCGGGCCGGGCGCGGGGGGCTGCGGAGTTGCTCGCTTCTGTGAGTTCTGCCCGTGGGGGGGATGGAGAGGGGGCAGTGGGGAGGACTGCCGGCGGGGAGGGGGGGCGGCGGTGTTAAATGTGGCCGCGCAGCTCCCCGGGGAGCGGCTGAAAGGAGAGCGCGCTCACCAGCTGACAGCGCGTGCTCCGCTCCAGACGCCGCGCACCGCGGCCAGGAGCCGCGCCAGCCCCGCTATTGTCAGCCGCGCTCTAATTAAGAAACACTCACGTTACGGCGAGCCACCCCCACGCTTCTTGGTTCCTGTCCTTTTCTTCATCTCCCCCGACGCCTCTCCTCCCCTGGGTCCCAGGATTTAACCCGTTCTCCGCTCCGCAGCCTTGGCTAGTCCCTTGTCCCGGGCCTAGCAGAAGGGCAGGGACCTCAGGAGTTGGCCTCTGGGACGCTGGTCGGTTTAGGAGGACGATGGCTGGCCAGAGCAGACAAAAGCAGGGAGAGAAACCTACAGGGTGGTTATAGGTCCGGCCCCCATCCCCACCCACCGATTCAACTCCTAGAGGTGATCTTTAAAAACTCTCACCAGCACATACGTACTTGCCTGTCTTTCCAGAAGGCTGCGGACACGTCTAGGTGGCCGTAGACAGGTGGGTCTGCACTTTCGTTTCCAGTTCTAACTTGGAACAACCGAGACGAAGTTGATGATGTTTCTTGAACTTTCAGATGAACAAAGGAGAGAAATAATTACAAGATGTCCTTCGATAAAAGATCGCTTACTTGGTTCAGGTTTAAGTCTCGAAAAAATCAATAGAGGGGCCTAATAAAGGGTAAGATGAAGAAAATTAATGCCTCCCTCTTTTTCTGGTCAAGACCTCCCAGTTAGCAGTGTTCCAAACAGAACAAGCCTAAAATGGTCTCAGTTACCAGAAATATTCTTCCTCAGCTTTCTGTGAAATCAAGTAAGGTTCCTTAAGTGTGGTGTGCCAAAATCCTCCACAAATAAAAGTGGTGGTGGGGGTGATGGTGAGGGGCGTGGGGAGGAGAGGGCAAAGACAGAATATAAACACTGCTTAAAATATATAAAACTTTAGAAAGCCCCAGCAGTGTCGCAGAAGACTAGCCCGGTTTATCTATCTTCATTACTTTAAGAAACGCTGCCTCTTTGTTTGTTTGGGTGATATTAAGCATGCTTAACTTGCACACATAGTTGATTCCTTTGCTAGTATCTTGGATACTTGGATCTGACTTTGGAAGGTAGAAGCTAATTGCTAATAATGGAGAGAAAGGAACCAGTCAGCATGGCAGGAGTGGTCTGGCATATGGGGAATGAGTGCTCAGAAATACTCAATATTCAAGTTTCCAAAATATTAATGAGATTATAGCAACCTGCAGCTATATGTTACAGCTTGTTAATGGAGTGTAAGAGAGCAAGCTGCCAAACGTTTGTTATGCAAACCCCACAGCAGAACCTTAAAATGGAAATGTGATTGTACATCTCTCTCAGAGAAATGCCAGCGTAAGAAGAAAGAAATAGAATGAGGGAAAGAAAAAGAGGTTAAAGTCCTCATTTGAACTTTGAACACTTCATTTGCCACAGAGGGATTTGGCTGTTTGTGCCTGTCTGTGATGGGTTAGAAGAATTCATCCACACTTTCCATCAGCGTGATACAGAATGTCCAATCTGATCATCATTTTTTTTTTCTCATGAGAGGAAATGTCAAGTGACTTCCTTAAGTGAAGTTGGCATTATCTTCAATTTGTATATAATGCCACGGACACTTAAAAGTCCAATATCTGGCTGTTATTGTGGAACCAGAAGAAAAACACACATAACCCTCTGAACATTTGCATAGATGTAGCTCCTAGCCACAAAATTTCTTAGAGGAAAAGTTGTGGGTTTATGGACCTCATGGGTAGGAGTAGTAAGATCCAGTTCTGGATATTGACATGATGTCTGTGTGATTTGGCTGCAGTCAGTCAGGGAAAGGGCATTTATAAAAGATTGCAAAGACATTTCTGATGTCATTTCTGTTTTAAAATTTCTATATGCACATGAAAAAGAAAGTAATAATTTTGGAAGGGTCTTTTTTCTCTACTTAACACAAAATGAACATAAAGATATTTGAAAATGAAGTAGTTTTTTTTTTGAGGAAAAAAAATCACAACTTTATTTTGCTTAGTCCTGTCCTTCCCCTACTCAGATTCATAGTAGGTAAAAGCATTCTGCGCTCTCTCCTCTCTCTCTCCTTCCTTCCCTCCCTCCCTCCCTCCATTCTTCCCTCCCTCTCTCCCTTACTCCACATCTATGCAGACACACCAAGCCAAATAACTATAAAAATATGTTTGCATTCATCCTGCACGCACGGTTGCTCTGTGTCCATGCCTGTTGAGTTCGCTTATTGAGAGTGAAATGGAATTGTGTTAGAAGCAATCGCTTGATTTATTCAGCAGCCAGAAGATTCCCGATGGTTATCGTGAGCACAGCAAACTCAATGGGTGCAAAAGGTTATCTAAGGGACAGGTGCACTGTTTCTGCCCCTGGAAAGCGCCCGGAGCCGCTGCTCACCTCTCTCCCAGAGAGCTGGCACAGGCTTTCCTTGGCTCCCCTGCATCATAAGCATCAGCCAAAGCCCCTGGGTACCCAGGTGGTCAGTGAGCAGCTATCCTGCAGTTCTCTACCCTGGACCAGAACCCCCTTTCCCAGCGCGTTGCTTTCTCCACACCCGGTTTAGGAAGCTCTCCTCTTTTCAAGATGCTGCGGAGGAAAGGGGATGCAGAGTGATTAAAATAACCATCTCTCGTTTTCTGTCCCACTTCCTTGCTCTTGCAATTTGTTATCCACCCCCAATGAAGAAACAAGATATAAAAGATTCGTTTTAAAACCAATCTTCCTAATTCAGTGATATTTTTATCCGGTGGAACATAGCCCATCGTCAGTTTAGTAAATCGTTCTAGGTTCAGGTTTGCCAAATACATTTTTAAAATTTCGCTTTCTACTTTACACACGCACACACACACACACACACACACACACTCACACACACACACACACACACACACACACACACACACAGTATTAGCTTTTTCAAAGTGAATGTTGCTGACACCCAGAATAGGCTATTACTCAGTGAGAACCCCGAGCTTCTGCAACTGACTAAAAATGTAGTTACATGTTTTCTACATGGTTATTAATTCAGGATGGACAAATAAATGCAAACATCATCACGGACATTGGAAGAAGCAGAACTGCTTGTAAGGAAAAAAAAAATGAGTGGAGGTCAACAATTTTCTAGGATAACTGCAGGTTCTGATTTTTGAATCAATGAACCTCAACCTCTTTTCTTGGGTTCTTTTCCATTGTTCGCTTTTTTCTCTTTGCCTTTAAACCTCCTTCTCCCCAGAGAGAGGGAAGGAGGGAGAAAGAGAGGAGGGAGGGAGAGAGAGAAAGAATGGGCTTGTGCTATGAATTTGACCTTAACAAGAAAAGCTCTCAGCTGGGCTAGTTTTTATGAAGTGGCAATAGTCAAGTTCATTACTCCTGGAGAAATTCTAGGAGACCTGCACACAGCCTTGCAGAGGTTGTGGAGATTAGGAGTGAGGAAGACTGGAAAGATTCTGACTACCCAAGAGCAACACCATTACAAAGTCCCGAGAAGTTTTATCTCCCAATTTTATTGACCAGCGCTTTCTGCCCCAACTAAGATCAAGTAAGGTCTCTGATCTTACTTGAAGATATAACAGAATTGTTCTTCAAAACCCTTAGGTAGATCGCATAAATTGGCACTTACTAGAAGAGAGTTCAGTTCTTCAAGGCTATTTTAAAACTCTTTTCCATGCTTATATTAGAACGGAGTAAGTGACAGATACCAGTTATTTTCAAGTTTATTTTTATCATTTGCAAAAGAAAATACATAAAACAATGGCAATGGCTTTGCTAACTTAAAATAAAATGGTCTCGAGTAGAAAACGTAAAAAATGAATCAAGATAAGTAGAAACGGTAGCAAACACTCAATAATAAATAAGTTCTAACATTAACAAGGCAAAAAAAAGTAACATTGACCAAATGCTTTTGACACTACTGGATATATTTTTTTTAATTTTAATTTTTTAAACAAAACATTTGCAAAAAGCTTAAGGATGATAAGTGGCCGTGTTTGAAAAAACAAAACTGGTCTGCAATTGGCAGCTGAGTTTGTCCCGGAGCCACCACAGCAGGAGCGGCTGATAAAGTGCGTGCGCCAAGTTTCCTAATAAGACGCCAACTTTCTCGCGATCGGATATACCTACTGGGTACGTTTATACAAGATATAAACTTCAAAGGTCCCCGTTTTCCAACCACGCCGCAGTCAAAAGCCACTCACTTTGGAAGTTTTAACTTTTGAGTTTCAGAACGCGTTTTGGGAAACCATTTAGGAATACCAACTCTCCCGCACCGCACGTGAGGGCGCGCAACACACAGGGATGGATGGATGGGTGCCCAGGGCACAAAATAAATTAAACACAAACCAGCGATAGAAAAGATGAGATGTTTTAGCAGCGTATTGGCAGCAGGGAACGTATATATAATCCATGATAGCCTACCTATCTACAGGGGAAGCGGAAGGTGGGAGGGAAGAACACAACTTTTAACAAGTTTTCATCAAACATGGGGGGTGGTGCGCGTGATAGGAAGTTTGGAATCGGGGAGGCTTTTGCCAACCATCCAATGTAATAGCTGCCGTCTGGAGCCTAGTCGTTGCTACACAACGACCGTCGCCGCGCAAACACGAACAGGGTGCGGGGATCTTTCACCGCGGGGCTCTTCTTTGGGCACCGGGAAGGGGCAATTTTTGTTTCTGTGTCTGTGTTTTCAGGGTTTCTGTCCCCTCCCTAACTGGCCTCATCCGAGTCACTGTAATGGGAGTGGGGGGAAAACTCCCCGTCGCTTCTGTGAGACCGGGGCGACGTTTTGCTGTTCTCCTCCTGCACCGGCTGCAGGAGACCCCCGGGCAGCGACGGCGACAGGCTCTTCTGCGCCATCATCGCCGCCGTCAGGGCGCTGTCCTCGAACGCGGAGAAGTGCAAGGCGTCCAGCTGCACGGAGTACCCTCCCGCGGAGGAGGCCGGCGCGGAGAAGCGAGTCCGGCAGCCGCCGGGCGGGGCGGGCCGCTGGCCGGCTCCGGAGGCCGGCGGGGCCCCCGCGGCGGCGGCGGTACCCGCACCGCCCTCGTAGGGGGCGGCGGCGGCGGCGCGGAGGTGGTGGTGGTCGCTCTTGCAGGACGCGGGCGGCGGCGGCGGCTGCTCCCCGGCGCTGGGCGTCTGCAGCAGCTCGGACAGGGCGTTGATGTAGATCTGGGCCATCTGCAGGGTCTCGTACTTGGACAGCTTCTTGTCGTTGTTGAAGGACGGGATAACGTTGCGCAGCTGGTCGAAGGCGTGGTTCAGCCCGTGCATCCGGCGCCGCTCCCTGGCGTTGGCCGCCAGCCGCCTCTGCTTCTGCACCCCGTTCACCTGTTTGCTGGAAGGGGCGCGCTGGCGGCTGCAGCCCAGCTCGTCCACCAGCACCCCGCCTTTCAGCTTGCACAGCTGTTCGCGCACTTTCACCGGGCCCGGGGGGCTCTTGCCGCTGCCGCCGCCGCTTCTCCTCGCCGCCAGCTCCCCCCGGCCGTCCAGCTCCTCCCGGGGCGCCGCCGCCGCCTCCGAGGCCCCCAGCTCCGGGGAATGCAGCAGGTACTGGGCGGCGCGTGCCGTGCAGATGCCCTGCAACGTGGGAGCCAGCCAGGCGCGTGGGTCTGTGCCGTCCAGGAGGGACAGCTCGGCCGGGTACCCGGGATGCTCTCTCGTCTGCAGAGTCGCAGGCGGCTGCGGCGGCGGCTGCGGGAGGTGGTGCGGCGGGGGATGGCGGTGGTGGGCCCCTAACTCCTTCACTTCAGCCCACTCTTCCACGTGCAGCAGGCGGGACATCGCACTGCAGAGGTTGGTTCGGAGGCTCAAGAGTCGAAGGAGAGGCACTGGCAAACCGGCTCCACAAAACACACCACACACACAACCCTTCCCGGGTCTCGACTTGCAATGTCTTATTATTATTATTATTATTTTTTCCTCCCTCCTCGACCCTCCCCCACCCGCTCTGAGATCACACACCCGGTCGCGTGCAACGGAGCTTCTCCGGTTGCCGAAGGCGCTGCGCCCCTTTAAAAAGCGGCACGCGCCTGAGCGGCTCCCCCCCGCCCCGCTCCCAGCCCCCTCCTCGCGCCGGTCGCGTGTCCGCGCAGCCAATGGCGGGCGCGGGCCGGCGCGTGCGGGCAGCCAATCAGAGAGCTCGTGCGCCCGGCGGCATGTTCCTGCGTCCCGGGCGCCGTGCGCCGCGGCCGGGGCTGCCCCCCTCGCTCCTCCCGCCCCCTCCCTCCCTCCCCCCCGGCCCCCGGCTCCCGGTCCGCCGGATTCATATGTTAATTGCGGGGTGTAATTCGATTCCGGTGCGGTGTCCCCGGGCCGGCGGCCGGGGTGCGGGAGCCGGCGCGGAGCGGACGGACTCCCGGTGGCCGCCCCGGCCCGCTCCGCTCCGGGGGGACAAGCCCCGCTCCGGGGGGACGAGCCCGGCTCCGGGGGGGACGAGCCGGCGGCTCCGCGCGGGCGAGGCAGGGCGTGCCGGGCGCGGGGAAGCGCTCCTGCCCTTGGCTGCCTCCCGGCGAGGATCGCTGCTCCCACTGTGTGTGCCCACGCATTCAAAACCTCCCCATGTCCATGGATAGATACATAGATGGTACGTGCATGCACAGGCTACATGGATGTGTAGGTAAAGATTTCATAGGTGCGTAATTGCTAAAGGATGAAGACCATTTAAAAAAAAAATCAATGTTGGAATTAAAAGTGAAACCGTCTCAGGATACGTTTCTCAAGCTGCACCTCCGTCTAGATGGGCTTTGGGCGATCTTTTTCTTCATGAAAGTAAAACTGTGGCACGCCTACCAAATTCCAGATGCCTCAGTGCTCCCCGTCCTTTCCCCAGCGCCCCGCGGCCAGCTACTATGTTTTTCTGCAGAAAACTCTCTTCGGAGGAGTTTGGGGGCCGGGATATTTGATAGCCCACACCCCCAGCAGGACTCCTGACTAGGAAACGCGGAGCCGAGGCGGCGTCTCCAAAGGACAGGGAAAGGCGCCGGCGTTCCCGGAACACTTGTAAGGTTCAGAGTCCGCAGGCGCCGGCCCTTCTGCTCCAGGAGCCCCGGGTTTACCGCGGCGCGTGGCTTCTCTGGCAGCACGCAGAAGCCACAGCCTCCCCTCCCCACCCCCCCTACGATTCCTGGGGATGTACTCCTCCCCTTTCCCCCTTGCCGCAGCAGGCCAGAGCGCTACCGAAGCCAAAGCCCCGGAGGTTCTGCGCCCAGTTGGGACCTTTCTCCCACCTCGGGTCCCAGTTGTCTGCTTTCCCCTATTTTCAGCAAAAAGCCAATCAGAAACACCGAGGCCCTGGGCACGCCCCGGCGTGCGCCCAACACCGCTCCACCTCGGGGCGCATGAAGTAGCTATGGACCTTGGGGCCCAGGAGTGGGACCCAACAGGCTGCTCCTAGTTCAGCTCTTTTCTTTAGCCGCGGCTGTGGTCCAGATAGGAGTCTCTTCCGCCAGAGAAGAGGATGGAGAGAAAAGCCAGCAGAGAGAGAAGAGGTCTCTGGAACAAGACACCACTGTGCCCAGAATCCACTGGAAGCTGTTCTCGCTAGTATGCGCAGGGACTTGATCTAACCTGCCATTTAGAACTCCTTGGACAGAAGAATCTCTGGGACTGGATTGGAGAAAAAACAAATACATATATTCTGTACCAAAGATTTTTAATGTACCACAGGAATTTTAAAAACATGCAATACCTGATTATTTAGTCAGGGTCACTAAACTCTTTTACCTTACATTGTCAAATGAAAAAATAACAGTCAAAACAACAATAGCTGTCTGGTGAGAGTGGATCAAAATTATTCCTATTTTTTTTGTCAGCTGTAGAATTTTAGTAATTAGTTTATGTGTGCTATGAGATGAAAAATGTTGAAATTGCTGTTCTATACTATCTACTATTTTCTACCCTTCTATACCTTTATGAAGAGAGATGCAATCTCTATAAAGGCATAAAGCTATAATAGAATTGAGTGCTAAAATGGCACTCAATACATCATTCTTTACCAGTTTTTCCTTCAACCTTATCTGTTTGTTGGTGTGTAGAGATAGAGAGTCCTGGACCTTCCCACCTCAAGAGCCAGAAAGCCAGAGCTGGATTCTTATGTGAATATTTGGGTTCTGCTTTAAATAAATACATTAAATAAGAAGAACAGAAACAAAATCAAAATCTGGAAAAAAGCCTAAAAAAGCTTGGGAACCATTGATGAGAATAAAGAAAAGGTGAATAGGAAAAGTCACTAATTCTTTTTTTGGGAGAAAGTTCTCCAATTTTATGTGATTGTTATGAGTACTGTTGGAATCAACTCGTGAAGCTATTTCTTTAGATAGTGTTACTATGGAAAATGTGCTACTTCAAAAAATAATTGCTTAAAGTAGTAGGTACCGGAAGGTGACTTTCAGAAAAATGACTAGCCATCTTCTACAGATGCTTGGTAGTTTCGACAGCAAGAGCCTGGAAGTATCAGCAGTTTGTATTACATTTATTCCTCATGCATTGATTTTTCCCAACTGTATCAGCTCTAGGTTACTCCTGGAATTCTTCCACATAATGTCACTATGAAATATATATGACCAAGTTTTCCTCAGCTTGCACCATCTAGACTTTTGCCTATATTTTATTGCCTATATTTTAAATTCAACTGCCCAATATTCATTTCCCTCTGACCTTAAACAGTTGTATGGGCTGTAGCTAAATATTTGCTGAATACCTGGAATATTGATCCCACGTTTCCAGCTTTATAGATAGATAATCACTAGTATGATTACTTTTTAAAAAAAGTCTTAATTTTTAAGTGAGTAACTTAGAGTATCCCAAAAAATGTGAGGGACAGTAAAGATTGTTTTGTAGTTTGTGGTGAATTACATTTCTTTTGCCCTTAGAATAACCAGGAAGCTATTTTCCTTCACCCTCCTCTCCCTTTCCTTCTCTTCCATTAGGGGGCGTTGAGGAAGCCAAGTATTCGAGTGTGGCAGGGGACAAGGGCCCAGCGCACTCACGAGGTTGGATCCTCAGTCCTGTGAGTAGGTTGTCCCAGCATAGGTTTTGTGGCATGGGATGTCAAGTATCAAGGCCAGGGCAGTGCCTGCTTTCTTTGCAATATTGCTACTCACACACTCAGGCCTGATTTTCAGTAAACTATTCTCTGATTTGAGTGCATGTGGGTGTCATAGAGGTTTCCTGGATTTTACATTGTGTCCTGAAGTGGTGATTGGCTGACCTGAGCCCACCATTTGCTTTCAGTGGTGTATCTATGGTACTGAATCTACATCTGCAGTCTTTTATGACAACTACTGCTGCCATATCTCTTGAATGGCAGAGATATTGCCTAAATTCAATATATCCCCTTCCTCCTGTATCTTGACGCAATGCATCATGAATGAGACTCTTAGTAATAGTGATCCTATAGCATGCCAGGGGCTACCACACTCAGTTGTCACTAACAGTGCAGTCTTTTTCACTATCTGGCCTGTGACTGATCCAGTTCAAGGATCCCATCGGAGATCCTGCCTCCTAGACCACTTCCAGTATGAATTACTGGGTTCTCCCAAAAGTAGATCCTTAGGTAAGTATTCACGTTGTGGTAAATGGTTATTTGCTTTTAAATTATTTGTTAAATTGTTCACAACTGTATGCTTATATTTTATATATTTGATAGCACGTGTGCTATATTTCTCAATGACTTTTTAAATCTCTTCTTGTACTACACAATGAAATAAATTCCAGATGAGTTGAAAATTAAATATAAAAACAAAATTATAATAAGAGGGTAATGTAAGTGTTTTACTGACATCAGGCTAAGTAAGGATATTCAATGCATAAAATCACTGGAATATTTAATAATTCAATAAGTCATTAAATATTTTAAAATTAATACTTTTAATAATGAGTTCAACAAACTATAATACATAAAAATAAAAAGAACCCTTTTCTATGTATAAAAATCATAGAAATTAGAAGTAAATGACAAACTAGAAAAGATATTTATAACAATTTTTATACACAATGAATTAATAAACAATATAAAAAGAAACTATAAATGCTGATAAGAAAATGACTAGTTCCTGATAGAAAAACTGCCAAAAGATAAGAGTAGGCAATTCATGAAGGAGCAGTAAAATGGTCCATAAAGATGAAAAACATTTTCAACCAGGAAATGAAAATTAAAACAATAAGAGCGTTCCAATTAACTGTTTCAGATTAAACACACAGATGCTCTCCTCAATTATTAATATGACAGAAAAAGGACCCAAAAGCATAACTCCAAAGGTAATGGCTAAAGAGACCATAACAAATGAAAGATGTAAACTAATTTTATAAAATAAAAATAGGTGAGTGCATGATATCTGACTTAGCAGAACCGAGAAAGCCTATACCTTGGTCTGCAGGGAAAGCCAAAGGGAAGACCAATTCCTGCCCCAAACAGAGATCTCTGAAGGCAGAGTTGAGGAAAAGGTGGAGGGAGGAGAGACTGCAACCTAATCTTGCTGTTGGTGTACATGCCAATTTTGACATCTTTATATTTCTAAGGATCCTTTATTATCTCTTCCATTCTAAATTTGCTCTTCTACAGTAGTAAATAATGATGATTCCTTCATTTACTCTCACAGAAGCTTCCAGAATATTTTCATTTGTACAACTGTTATTGGACAATTTTTGTGTCTGTTTTATTTTATTTTTTGTGTGTGTCTGTTTTAAAAACAATTTCTGTGTACACCATGCACTTGATAAGGCTGCAATACTGACACTTTTGGCACCACTTGAGGGTCCATCTCAGAATGCCTCTTTAAGTGGGAGTTTCTGAGTAATAATTCTGGTAGTCAATTTAATTTGGGAAAACATAATAACAGTTCTCTGGGATATTTTTTGTGGGAAAAAAATACCTGGGACTACTCAACGAGTATATATTGAACACTCTATGTGTATAACACAACACAAGGCAAACAAATTTGACTCTTGCCCGACAGTATCAGGTATGGCTCAATGGTTGACCTATGAATCAGGATGTCACAATTCAATTCCTGGTCAGGGCACATGCTGGGGTTGTGGGCTCAATCTCCTGTGTGGGGCATGCAGGAAGCAT